TGTTAACACCCATTTATTAATGCGAAATCTGTTATTTTGCAATGCTATAGTTTTACGGTCGATAGCCGAACATGAAATTTCTTCCAAATGCATTGAATTCTAAGTTCAGAATCACAATGCTCATTGCATAATTATCAGTAATCATTTTATTTTGTTTTAATTGATCAAAGCAAAGTACATAAAATCGTAAGGCAATGGCAATAATTTTGATGCTGAAAATAAAAGCAAAATGTTCATCGTTTTACATATGATCATCATAGAGTTCCATCTATAACGCATAAGTACAAAATGGCGGTATTGAATAGTCTACGAATTTTGATTTCATGATGCACTCGTTCACTTTGCCATCAGGAAGAAAACCTAAATTACACTGCCTTCCACACTGTTAAGAAAAATTAGGATTCAGATCAAAAATATACAAACAAGGTATATACACATTTTATCGCAAGAGATAAACAATTAGATATAACAATTGATTGCATTTTACAGTGCTTGTATACTTCACATTTCTGGAAAATATTCCAAAAGTGACGAAATAACAAGAAACGGTATTAGTAAAAATAACAGCTCACAGGGGGGGGGGGAATAAAACCAAAGTATTACATTAACTCCGACTTCAGCTCAATCATTTTCCTTCGAGGAGGTAGAGTGGGTGTTTGTTTTCCTAGATAATCCTAAATTTTCAGTCGGACTAAGGTCTGGTGATGTAGTTGTCCATTCGCTGGTATCACCGATTCCATCCGATGGTATCACCGATGAAAATATTTGGAAAGGGCAACACTTTTGTGCATTTTTCGCGCTGTGTCACATGCTAAAAAATAACCAGCGGATCCTTAAGGTTTCCATCGAAAAAAGAAAGGAAAATTCAAAGAGACCACCACATAATAAACACAGGATACGTGTCAACTATTTCACCAAGCGCGCAATAATCAGCAAGCTGTGTCATACATCATCAACAGCCGAATAGTAACACGCTTATAGTAATATTCTATTTTTACTAAATGTAGAATAGTTTGGCAAACCTCCCAGCACATTAAAACTTGCTAATAGCAAGTTTTGCATTTTCATCGATGTTTAGATCATTTCTAATGTCATTAAACTCAAGTTTTGATTATCAAGCATAAATTCTAAGTAATATAGGATCTAAAAAAATAAAAATCTATACTTTCCTGTTAATATTGGCCTGTTGTCATTCCAATATCTCCAGTTAATGAAATTAATAGCGTATTTGGAGCTGTAATGCAAGTAGGTTGAAATAACTGAAGCACTCTGGCGGCAGCAAATGCTGATTTTGCCCCATACGATGATCATTCAGAGATACAACAGCAAATAATTGGCAATTGGCATAGGCGTTCAAATAGATTTTAAGTCAAAATAATACCTTTTCTGCTAAGCTTCTATTCAGAGAAAGTTGCATTGAATGAACTGCATTGCATTCTTTTCCCAGCTATTCAGAAACTGATACGACATTATTCACTGTAAAGGCACCTAAATTCATCTGCGATTACTAAGCTCCACTGCAGGGGTCCTTGTAATATGTTCTTTTGCTGCCGTAGTGAAGCTATACTGTGCGAACAAACCATTAAAGCGACAAATGCTGCCTAGCAGACATTTGATTGCAAAATTTTCCTTCGGTCAATTGAAGCAGATCTTGTTACGTCCAAATAAGCAACAATTATTTTAAATATGTTTGGCTTCTCTATCGGAAAGGATCAGTATCAGTATCAGTATCAATCTTGCCTTTTAGACAAGAAGAAAGATGATGAGGACTTTGGCGAACGCCGTTTCCTCCAAATCGTGAGGGTTAATATTGAAATTAACAACAAACGTTTTTACAAATTTTTATTAAACATATACAAACATCCATGCCTTCTCCGGGATTCGAACCCGGACTCTTCGGCACGGTAGTCAGCAACGCTAACAACTATACCGGTTGGGCGGCGGAAAGGATCAGAAAATTATCAAAAAAAATGACAACGTAATTGATGCCATACCTTGTTGAAGAGACTCAACGTTAAACCATCGTGCAGTTTCAACCTCTGCTAGTTCGCATTTCGATGCCAGCCAGCTGCTTATAATCTATGCAAAAGACTTTCCTGAGATATTGTGAAAATATTTTTATGCTGACAAATATTATAAAAGATTCACTACTCCAAAATTAATTACCTGTGTAAAACAAAATCAGTAATTTAATTTTGTAAATACATTTTGTGAATGTAGTTTTCCATCTTAGTGTCCTGTGGATCTCTTATTGGGCCGGCTTCTGATGACGACCGATTGTGTGCCTAGTAAATACAGTAGTGCAGAGGAGAATACCTGTAAAATCCAATACGAAGTGCTGGTGCTCCGTCCACTTTTCCCCGTCCTTGTATTTTCAGGTAATTGCTATGAAAGACTTTGGTGGCTCCAAAACCGCAAACATTTGCGGTTTTGCAGCTGAGGATGGTGTTTCGGTAAAACCATCGAAACTAGTGCTGTGAAAAATTTTGTAAATATAACGCTGATTTTTGTTGTTTGACTTCTGAATTAATATATAAATATATTTATAAATATATCCACTCTGTTACCCGTCTCAATGATCTCAGTTTCTTTACTCTTATATGTTTGTAAATTGTACATTTTTTGCTTTAAAAATGATTGAATTATGTTGTTTTTATCTTCTGGTTAAGGGTTTTATGCCTTTAGTAAATCTGTGTGCAATATTTTTAGAATTATCAACAATTTTAAAATTGTTTAAGTGCCGCTAAGCCTAATTTGATGGCGGCCATTGCTTTTGTTTACATTTGAAACAACTGAGTAGCGGATTTGTTGCCAATCTAGAGAAACTTAGCTTCACAACAACAAAGATAACGCCTTCATTTATTATTTAAATCATACTTAATCCTTTCTGGAATTTTTTCGAGGAAATAATAAGAGTTTAAGATTTACTTCGTAATTTTTAATACAGATATTTTGAGTTTTTATGTATTTTTGCCTTGTCGGGAAGTGAAAACTGAATTAATTGAATGAGAAATACTCAATCGTATGTGAAAAACTGTTTTTTTTTTTTTCTTAATTACTTTTATACATAGTTCTAGCTTTATTATAGTATTTAGCTTTATTATAGTATTTGAATAAAACATGTGGCAACGATTAGATAATTCTTTAAATGATATAAATTTTGTGCATTCTGAGTTATAATATGAACGAAACATAATACTGTTAAGTAAACCTAGCGCCAGAGTGTCGCTATGGTAAACATATGAATTTTAAAGAATGCATTTATTCTATTGTGGTTTATGCGCTGTCGGCGAAGTAGGTTTAATTCAATCTAATAAGTTTAAATAAAATGTAAGAAAAAATACGTATAATTTAATATTCCGTCAAGGAAGTCATGTGGTGTACACATCAGATTTTTTCATATACTTTTACGAGCAATGTAAATACTAATGCACGTACTCACAAATAATAATCTAGTTTAGAATCTTTAAAATTAATATTTCTTTAATAAATATTAATAATTTTTGCTTAGATTTCTAAATATAAAATTTCGGTTTAATTAAAAAAATTCGTAACATATATCGTGGAGCGTTTTAATGTGGAAGCATATCATGACGCACTTGTTGGAAAACATTTTGTAACCTATATAAGAGTTCTTGTGTCTGACACATACAACTCGTAAGTCTTACATAAAATTCACTCTGAAAACCTTATTTCAGAAAAATATGTTATCTAATCAGTTGTGGTAAAGTACACGTGAGTATCTCCCTGAGAAAGACTCTCGTATTCAAATAACGTAGAGAAAATTACGAAAAGTACACGCAGCCAGCACATTCACCAGGAATCAAATCCGGATCGAACTAACATTGTTTAACGGTCTTATTTTCTCGTCCGCTGACAAGCAGAAAAATTAAGAATCTTCGTGCAATGTTCTTAATGTTTAAATTTCATATGAAAAAATTAGACTAGGTGTATCAATGTGAAATAAAGTTGTTTTGAAGCTATAGAATTTAAAAGCTCTAGAAGACACAGCTGTAGAATTTAAAAACTAATTAGATATTAACAAAACGTAATTTATCTAGCAAAAATACGCAACACGTTTCTAAAGTCTGCTTTCATTCCCATAATTAATAAGTAACAATATTCCGATTGATTTGAAGATTTAATAAATTTTAAACATTTTAGTTACGGCGCAGTTCTTTGAAGCAAGTATTAATTTTATGCTAAATACTACCTTTCGCGTACTACATAGTGTTAACAGCTACTGCGTTCACCTGGTTAAGGTTATTGGGTAATACTGAACAAATTTCATCCCTCCGTGATTACCACTCAGAGCGGCTTGGGCGTTAAACATGTAAGAACAGATTAACTAGTAATTGTGCGTGCCCGGAGAAGACGCATTTTTCATAAATGTTGCAGGAAATAGGATTTTTTAAACGGGCTTTAATTTATAACACTCCCTCCAAAAATTTGTTATCTGCATAAGATATGAATGCTTTCAGGAAGAACTTTCTCAGGGGGCTCATGTTTCTGTTTAACACGAAAAATTCTAAAACTGAGAATGTTATTCTTATTTTCATAAAAATCGCTTAGTATTCTTTTAATGTACTATATTTTTTTTCCTTCAGTAACTTGTAGAAGACACGCACAGTCTAGTGTTTGCCGGTAATTTGAAAAGAAAACAGTTTTAAATTTAATGTTTATTTCAGTTCGAATAAAACTACGGAAACTTTATAAACATGTATCTTGTTGTATTAAAAAAGAAAACAAAAATTCGCTTAATATCTTTATGACATATTTAAATACAATAAATAGCGAAAACAAAATCACGTTATCAAGACAAATATTCAAGACATTTTAACTGAAATTTCACAAGTTAGATATTGAAACTCGCTTTCAAGCGATTAGTAGAGAAAGATTTACATTTATATACATGTTACAACAATTTCACCCTGTAGAAACTGTCAAAAACTTTGTCTTACTCACATACATTTGTATAATTTCATACAAAATAGAAAAAGGCAGTAGACATGAACTTTTTTATTTTAAGAATATGTACATAATATCGTCATGATGAGTGTTTAAAATCATAGTAAGTGGAAGTTTAAGGGTACATAGAAACATTTTACATGACGAATATGGTTTAAGCACAACAATCACAATACAGGTTTTTTTTTACACAGTACAAACATAGTGTTAATTTAAATATCTTTACACGCGCAATTTACAACGTATGCTAGCTAAAACTAGCCAAATGGCAGGCATAAAATAAACGATGACGTTTCTCTTCAGAAGCGCCATTTTGTCAACATCAAGCATGAGAATCTCTCTCCGATTCTTGAATGGTATCCAATCTGAGATAGCCAGAGATTCGTTTAGATTTTTGAGACTTGATGTACGGACTAAGTACTGCCTGAAACAGAAGAATCAATGAAGTGTATTTATTCACTTGACTCCAATTTCATATAAAGTCAGCCACAGCTTATTTAAGCTCATATATGTTACATAATTCTAGAATTATTCCATTTTTTCATGTAGTTTTCCCCCTAAATATGTGCTTTGCATGAATTTACATAATCGTTCATAACAAATTAAGCGGAACAAGAATACAAATCCGTTGTTGAAAAGGCCATATTATAATTCTTTTAAAGTATTAACTCTTTATTTAGTTATCGTTAGTAGTAGATCGTAAGAGATAATATTCAGCTTTTAGTTTCAGCAAAATAACTTAAGTTAATTTTTTTCTTTTTTACCGGATGGCATTTTCATTTTGCCATAGAGATATCGTCGATTCAGAGGTAAAAACAGGTTACTAAAATTTTTATTCATGATTTATTAAATTTGCAGCTATTTACACACTTCAAAGAAAATCATTTTGAATCGGTATATAAACTTTATTTGACAATATTTGCAACATTTTACAAAACCATTTTCGAGAGCATGTACCTTAGCTTTGCATACTCCCCTCCTCAACAGATAAATAACATTACAATGACTAAAAGACTTTTCAAAATTCTATCTATTTACATATTAAACACTTAAATATCAAGCAGGAGTGTTGCCTTTTATTTTTAAATATGAAAAAGTAAATACTCGAATAAGAAATGTAAAACTATTTGAATACTTTAAAAATTCTTTGGAACATTTTCGTCTAAAATCAAAAATTCGCTGTTATACATCACAACTTTGAAAATGATGACAATCGAGATTGCTTTTGATTATTAATTTGCTTTATTATACTAAATTTCATAATGAAATCAAATTAAAGGCATATGAAAGATGCATTAATTAAATCACACGTCCTATGCTTAGAGTCAAACACAATTTCAAACATTTCATGAATATTAATTGCTGGGCTCAAACGTTCAAGGAAATTGAGTTAATATAAGAATTCTCTGTTGGAAGGGGAAGAAGGTTGCCTACCTACCGGAGTAAGAATGCCTTCATTGAAGAACTTTAAAAGGGTTGTACTGTGGGTAAAAAAAGTATTTGCACACCTACATTTTTGTTTGCATTTCATAAAAAAAAGCATTAAGAAATAAAAGAATTGGTATTGCCAAATCAGAATAAGTTTAATCATCCAAAACAAACAGAAAAATTACAATAATATAAATAACAATGCTTTTTTGTAATAAAATTAAAATACCTCGTATCAAAAAAGTATTTGCACACCTGCATGAATACAAAAGAAATAAAATATATAAGCAAATTTCAAATAACTAATATTTAGTATGCATTTCTTTAAGCATCTATTACTGCTTGTAATCTTGCTGGCATTGATTTAATTAAATTTTCTATAATAGTAGGGTCAAGTATTCGACCACTCTTCAATAAGGGCTTGTTTAAGGGCAGATTTGCTTGAAATCTTCCTTTTTACTTATTTTTAAATTCCAAAGAATTCCACAAATTTGTCCAAAGGATTTAAGTCTGGTGATAATGGGGTGGAGTGGCAAGTTTTCTGGTTACATTATAAAGCAACCACATACGTGTTATACCGGCAGTGTGCTTGGGATTCATTGTCTTGCTGAAAATAGTACGAATTACAGATACCACAATTTTATTGCACTTTGTGGCAAGTTATCTCGCAAACACATCAATATAGGTTCGAGCTGTCATATTCCCATCAATGAAACACAAATTACCAACTCCTTTGCTAGTCATACACCCCCAAATCATAACAGAACCTCCTCCATGTTTAACTGTAGGTAACATATTTTTGGTATGAAAAGCATTACAAGGTTTTCTCCAAACTAATTTCCTGCCATCTGATTTAAAGATATTGAAATTACTCTCGTCGGAGAATATGACATTTTTCCAGAAATCAATTGGCTTATTGATATATTTCTTAGCGAATTCAAGTCTCTTCAGTCTATTTTTCGTTCAATTATGAGAAGTTTTTAAGTTTTTACCTTGGAGATCTCCCATAAATGTGTGCATCGTGCAGGACATTTCGAACACTTTGGGCACAGATTTGAACTCCAGATGTTGAAGCGACATCATTGGCTAAAGTAATTGCACTAACAAATGGATTTTTTGATGCTTCTCTCTTATGATTTTTCGCTTCATTCGCAGTGAAAGTTTCTTTGGGCGTCCAGAGCGCCAATTATTTGATGTAGATCCTCTTTCTTTATAACATACCAAATAGTAGAGAAGCAAACATTTACTTTTTTACCTATTTCTTGATAACTTAGGCCATTTTAACATAGAGAAAAAAATTTTTCTCGCAATGAAATCGGCAATTCAGATTTCTTAGGTGCCATTACAATTTGAATCGGCAATCAACTGATAACGTTTCGACAACACCTCCTTTTATAGTCGTCTTACATATGTTATTTACTGCGGGATGACTGTCAAATAATAGCATAAAAATGCAAATTTGCGTTTTTATGCTATTATTTGACAAATAATGCTATTATATGACAAATTTGCATCAAAGTTGAGTTGAGTGTGCAAATACTTTTTTGGCATAAGATATTTTAATATTGATGCAAAAAATGTTTTATATTAATATTATTGTATTTTTTATAATAATTTTAAATGAATAAGCTTATTCTGTTTTTTAAATGCCAATTTTTGTATTTCTTAATGCATTTTCTTATAAATTGTGAACAAAAATGTATGTGTGCAAATACTTTTTGTACCCACTGTATTTCACTATACAAGACGGCGGTTAGATTTATTGTTACTGCGAATAGCTCTTGGCCATTTGCTCTAAGAAATACGATTCCAGGCAAGACTGTCTAAGGGTATTGGCTCACATTCTCATGAAACAAGGGGGAAATATGAAGACAACGTACCAGCTTATTTTTTCAAATTCGTGAAGAATTTCGAATATTCAGTGGTCTGGCAAGTCGAATAGACAGCAAGTATGATGCTGTTCTGATCTCTGAACAAATTTAAGTGGCTTAAAGTACTTAAGAGTGATGACTGATAGTTTTATCTCAGATTTAATTTTTGACCAAGTGGATTGTATATTTATGCTTTTTTCCCTAAGCGTAATTTTGAGCTTGTTTTCTTCCGAATAATTTCCCAAGCCCACCGTATTTTTTTCTCATTAACTATTTTATAATGGAAAATCATTCATTACTTTATTAATCCTTCTAAAACAAAAATAATTAATTAATTAACAGACACTCTCTAGCCCGTTGTGTAAATGTAAGAAGTCTGTCAATGAAAGAGAAAACCATCTTGTTTTCTGAAATTTTCAGATAAAACTTTTCAATACTAGTACCCATTCATCACAGTAAAAAAAACTATTTATTTTCAAAACATTCAGATAAGTTATAAAAAACTTGCTATTTAATATAACTATGTACTGTATATGAATGTCTTCTCTTGTGAAAGTAAGAGCTTTCAGGCGAGAAGAATGTGCGCAACTGCAGAAGTCATCAAAGCTGTTCATATATAAATTTATCAAAAAAAATTATTCATTGATTTAGGAACAATTAATTGAAAACAAATTATCTTTTTCTATGTTATACATAGAATGAGTATTACACATCAGCTGCTTCTCACGCTTTATTACAATAATCATGTATTATTACAGCTCTTGAAATCCCATTTTAGATTTTATATCATATATTAGAACTTGAATCTCTGAGAACAAATAATGGGTAGTATGGTAAATAATGGATAATGTGCATACGCATGTATGGAATCAAGCATGCACAGCATGCAAGTAGTACAGTTTAATAGACAGAAACTGATTTTCTTAATACTTATTATATTTTAAAGGTTTCATACTAGTTTATGCAAGTGTTTCCAAATTTTATAATTTTGTGATATCTAAAAAGGAATAAAAACACTATTTCACGCTTAAAGTAAGGTAACTATTTATATGAATTTTATTCTTCACACTACTATGACTCAGTTACGAAGGCATAATATTTTACAATAAAAATTCTTAGCACCGTTAGTGATTACATATGAAATCAGCTTAATCCACCAACAAGAAAGATAGTGGTCATAGAAAACAAGTGTTCAGCAGTTTCAATGCTTCGTTCCTGATCAACTTCTACGAAGATAGAATTTGATACTATAGAATATAAAGACAGATATTTGAAAAGAATATATTACATCGTAAACAATGGGACAGTGGTGAGGAGGAGTTAATAATCGCAATCCTAGAAAGCATGCAAAGCATTAATGTCGCAAAATTTTTTATGTTTGATAATATTTTTTTCAGAAGAGTAGCAGAAAAGTCTTTCTATTCAAATGCCCATAAAGTCTGATAAATTGAAAGCGGATGCAGTTTCTCGTATTCTCGTATATTGACATTAAATGGTATCATCCCCCATTTCTCCAAGGATATCCAATAAAACATTGTTCAGTAACATCCCTCTTCGCTTTGGCTACGATACGGGACAGAATTGGATACAAAATGAAATAAAACTGGCCTACAGTTACCTGATGAGTCAATCTTGTGTCTTTGAACTTGTACTTCTTGTAGTAAAGAACAATGGATTCCAGATAAGGAAAGGGAAAGTCGTTGAAGTAGAACAAATCGTTTAATTGCACTATGGAATAGTGCACTACCTCCCCAGCTGTGGTTCTGAAAGAATAAATAAATGTATGTTATTAAAGTCACCCTTAGAAGCAACAAACTAGAAGTCCGCTAAAAAAAGTAGGTGAATTTTAGTTCCTAAACCCTGAAACTAAAGAGTAAAAATTAGAATACCGAAGTAGTCACTGCATATGATCTTTAGAATATGCGCTGTCACTAAGCTTCTATAACAAGATCAATATGATTGTGTAGGATGATAAAATCGGTAAAGCATTAATGCATGACTTCAAATTGTCTTGATTTCCGCTGCTAAAAGGCTGGTAAGCATAAAGAAATAAACTACCCTAAACTTCTTGGCAAAAGCCTTTTTTTCTAATCTAAAGCATTTTTTCAGGATAGTTTAATGGATATCAGAAATAAAGATGGAATACAGTAATCCCGCAATATTCGAATGAAAATTGTCAGCAGACGAAGCTTTATAAATGTAAATACATGTGTTTAATAAAGTAGTTCTATGTACATATTAGTTTCGCTGTTAAAACTTTTTACAGTGCATATATATAGATTTCTGATGGCGCATATTTAGAATTTGAGTTTAGTACACATATTTCTCAACGTAAGCAATCACAGCTGCCTTGTATTTACTGGAGTCTTAAAATTTAAATACGTAAATATTTCTCATTTTTTAATAAGCCCGTTATTAAACTAGAACATAAACTGTTAATATTAAAATTTAACATCAAACAGGTGTTCTGATTTTTTTACGCAGGCAAAGTGCCATTTTGTTGCTGTGCTTTTGTGTTCCGAAAATTGTTTTCAAATTGTGTTCAAAAATAATTTGAAATAAGCGTACTTTTGCCTTAAAATAATCCTCATTTATTGCTTTAAGGCGTACTTCGAAATGTTGGTTGAGGTTAGATCTCGAATTAATAAACTTTCAAATTGCTCATGCAGTTTAAGAATAAGATTTTAAACTGCATAATTCTTATATTCTGTGGATAAGAACACCATTTTCAAGTACGGGATTTTCATAGCTGTGATTGTGTAATAACCATCTTACAAATATTGTCTAATAATTTGTATTATATGTAAATAATTTAATTGAAATTAGAAGTAAATTGTAGAATCTCTTGTATAATGTAATACTAAAACTATCAAAGTGCAAAGCATAACCAGAAAAACAGGGTTACAGGAGTAAGTCCATTTAACATAGAGGTAAATGGTTGGCAAAATAGCGAAAAGCTGGCGATGATTTTGGCAACTAATTTTTGTCGCCAGATTTTTCCAGAAATAGCCAAATTCGAAAGTCGCCAAGCCTGGTGGCAATTTAGCGACATCTTGGTTGGCTCCCTGCCTTCCAACAATTTCGAGAAATCGAAGGTAAAGTCATTCTGACGAAATGGAGAGTTCAATCCCAGGTCAAATTATTTTGCAAAAAATAATTTCTGGGACTCGGTAAACATTATTGCTACTACTTTTTTTTTATTTTATCTTACTTATTTTATCATTTTTAGTGAACCTTTTAGAACTTATACTGCACTTTTGCATTTTTATGCAAGATAGACTGACCCTAGGATACTGACCCCCAGTACAATTTATCGCTTATGACACGAGACTTAAAATTTAAGATTTCATTACTACTCAAGAAGATTTCTTTTGCCATTCGACCTTATCTGCCATTTAATTGCTTCAAGTTCTTCTGTTCTCATCGAGTTTCACGATTTTATGTTCCTTAGGTTGTGAAACTCAAGTAAGATATGGGAGTAAAGGTTTCCGGACCGAAGGCTTCGCTACACAACCGACGATCTAACGAGGAAATTTCTCGGCAGACGGAGAAAACTACTTAAAACCGGAGATTATTAGCTTTCAGTTTAGCTCAGTGTTCGGCACAGAATACTGAGAGTTCAGAGAACTGAGAAATCATTATGCAAACTTACACATTTGAAATTTTTTTGTATTGCACTGTGTTGAACGTGCTTAATAGTTCAAACTGTTTCTTTGAGTAATAAAAGTAACTAATATACTTTTCTTGCATTGTTTTCTTATGCTATAACCGTATTACTCTCATATATCACGTTTCCCGCAATTCTGACTTATAATTTCCTTAAATATTCACATAAACATTAATTATGGTTAACGTTTGGACACCAGAGTATTTTCAGTCAGATACTGAAACGAAGGCTATCTTGTTGGGGCGAAGAACGCCTTATTTAAGTCATGGGTGATGAATATTTTGTTGTGAATGGGTGATGACTATTTTGTTGTGTCGCATAACGTGTAACGTAATGCAACAAGTGGCAACTACTGATTGTGCTCTGTCATACTGATAAGAACTGTATGAGTACTTTGGTGTGAAAACTTCCAGAACTGTGAAATGTTTTTCGAAAAGTAAATTTCATCAAGCTATCATCGGTTCTGTGTGCATTCAATCCATTACGAACTTGCACGCACGTAACTTTACTTACGCACCCATCTTCGGCTTCCAACTCTGATAGGGATTTGCAAATACTTTAAGTTCTCTAGAACAAGTTTTATAAATCATTGTGGGAACATCGTATCAGTCACTGTTTCACAGGAACTTTTGGCTTCTCAAAATATGACTTTCATAGGATCAATGAAAGTTTCTTCAACAAAGCTACAGTTTGTGATACCGTGACCTACTGGTAAAGATTAAAAGGTGTATCTAATTAATTATTGTTTCAGCCCATATTCTCAGCCTAATCACGGAAGCTCCTCTTGCACGCTATCATCTGTTCATGTTTGAATAGATAGCGAATCTTAAATTATTCCGCGTTTTCCATTCAGGCACCAAGGCACCTGTCGTTTTCTTCAATTTTCGAATCCCAGTCTCAGTCTCTTTTAAGGAACCCTAATTCATAAAATCATTTCCAGGTCTTTAAAGATTTCTGATAAGTTAGCAGGGTATAAAAAATACTTCCTACTTCATCAATAAGATAATGTTTTAAAACGGAAATATAATAATGCAATTTCAATTTATACAGAACGGAAGCTTCACACTTCCTTGAGACACAACTTTAAAAAAAAAACTAATGAATACAATTTACTTTCCAAGATATTTAATTTCATATAATTATTTAATCCAGGTTAGTAAAATATTGTCTATATCCAAAACTTTTTCTTCTTTAAAATGAAAGAGATCAAATGCGTGGTTATTCACCGCTACTATACACAATTAGATTCAAATCGTAGTTGTTAGAAGATTTTAATTGTTAGATTAAAATTTTAATTTAAAGTTATTTAAGGTTATTTTATTATTGTAAAACACACGGAAACTACCAAAATGACAAATCGGGAAATTGGCTTTTATATGTTACCCATGGAGAAAACTATAGAAACCTCATGGAGTCAGGTCGTTCAGCAGGATTCGATTCCGAAGCGAGTCATCTTATTCAGTGGTCATACACGCTCAGTAATTGGCGGGTGATATATTTAAGAACTAAATTTAAAAACTAACAGCATTAATAAAAGAAAGCCCGGAAAAAAGGTCAGACTAATTCAAATAGAATTGTCATACCATCGTAAATGAAACATTTTAGATCTAAATAATCACTACTATTGATATTTCTCCTAGAAAAAATTCTTCTCGAGATTGTCTCCGGAATTTCGAATTCCTAGTTTATTGAGAAACACACGATTTCCGAATTTCTTCAATTAAGAGATGAGATATTTTAAAAAATACCATATACAATTTGTGAAAATTAATTTCAGTGCTCTTCGTTACAATTCAACACAGCAGAGATAATCCGAGCAACTTTCTAAATTTTAAGTAGAGGATATTCATTATTATTAACTAAGAAACGAGGGCTGGAAATTTCTTCTGAAAATGTAAAAGATTAATATTTATATAAATTAAGAGTTTTATGATAAAACTAAGAAAAGAAGCAAATATTTTATATCGATTTTATAAATTTTTCCTATGTGATCTAGCTAATCCAACTTTAGGTACATTATGCATTACAAAAACTACATTTAAAATAAGCAGAAAAACAACGTCAGAAGTTTAATTTCTACACGTACTAATTTAATATCGATAATGGTTTGGTTTTATTAATTACTTAAAATTTTAAGCAAAATAAATACCATTTTTTAATTTTTTTTAATTATGAATTTCTGACATCTTCCCTTAGGCTGAAGAAGTTGTCATCATATGCAGGTGATTCCATACTCAAGAAAAACATTGATAAACGACGCATACGAAAGACTGGTGTCTTAACCGAAAGTTTCTGGCATTTGATTTCATACAGTAAAAAACGGCTAAGACAAACCTATTCACTGTACTTACGTCTTTATATGTCTACTAAATAGATTTTTAAAAAATTCTTTTTTGGGGGGTTAGTTTCATATACATTATTTTTAACATTTGATGCACTATATTTGATACAACTTCTGATATATAACTAATAACTTTTAGCAAAACCGGAACAAGGTTTTTCAACCCTTTAAACTGATTTCGTAATCGATTTGGCGATAGTAGTGAAAGTGCCTTTGAATTTAGGTGTTTAAAAGAGACAGTTAATAAATTAGCACAAATTGTCAAATGATATAAATGGGAGAGAAAATATTTCGCAAATATTCAGTTTTAAAAACCACACTATTTCAATAGTTATGAACACTAAGACAACATTATATCTTTTAAAGATAATTTATTGATAACTGATAATTGAAAGTTTAGTTGAATCCTACCTGAATCTGAGCACTTCGATAGAAATGTTTTTAACATTGCGAATAATTATTGTTAAAGTGAAAGAAGCTTTATAAATTATATTAATAGTAAGCGCAAATTCTTCCCTTGGTCAAAAAAATATTCACGCCTTGCTATATGTTCTGTCGAATATCAGTTCAATAATCAAAAATATTTTGAAAAATATTGTCGATTTTGCTTCACTAAAAGCAAGAAAATTAAACTAAAAAAGTCTTTAAAATAGTGCCATATTCTTATTATTACTTATATTTCAATATTATTCCGTATTTTTCAAAAATTACTTTTTAACATTTTCCTTTAAATATTATATATCTTTGCATGAGTA